GCCTAGGAGAAAGTCTATTCAGATAGTTGGGGAAATTTTAGAATTTTATTTTTGATTTACAGCAAGCTTGTCCAATCTGTAGCCAGCCCACAGGCCACATGCAGCCCAACAAATATTTTTAAGCTTTCTTAAAATATTATGTCTTTTTCTTGCGTTTTTGCTTTGTTTTATAGTTTATCAGTTACTGTTAGTGTTAGTCTACTTTATGTGTAGCCCAAGACAATTCTTTTTCTTCCACTGTGACCCAGGGAAGCCAAAAGATTAGACGCCGCTGGTTTACAGGAGCACCAAAAGTGGGACAAATCTGATTATTAAATGCCTGCTAATGTGATACAGTATTAATTACACAGTATGACCTTTGAAGTATCCTTGTCAAATGTTTCATCTGAACTCCTCAAGCCTCTGGTAACTTGCAGTTGAGAGTAAATACAAGATCTAGAGGCACAAAATAAATAAAATCAGAAAATCCAGCATTAGGGCATTGTAAGGTTTTTTAGGCTGACTGATGCTGCCATGGACTGCATGGTAACCTCTGTGACCTGCACATATACCTTCAGATGAGTTTCTGGACTGGAAAACCACAAAAGGGAAGAATCATCAACCCCTGTGGTGCCTAATTAACTTGAGACATTCTTCTATTTGTTCCTTATTCCCACCTTAACTGATTAGACAATTGGACTTTGTAACCAGCCTTGGTCAACCTCATGACTCCACAACCCATGACCCCCTCCCAGCTTGCAAAACCTCCCTAAACTGTAACTTCTGTAACTTTCCACTGCTCACCCCAAACCTATAAAACCAACTCCTATCCCACCGCCCTCCACTGACTCTATTTTCAGACTCAGCCTGCCTGCACCCAGGTGAATAAACAGCCATGTTGCTCATACAAAGCCTGTTTAGGGGGTCTCTTCATGCAGAGTGTGCGTTTTAACAGGCATTCTTCATGACAACTGCTTGGTATCTTAAATTTTTTTAAAAAAAAAAAAAGACAGTTATTTTGGGGAAAAATTAATTAAAAGTTTTAGATTAAAAGAAGCCAAAGAAAGTTAAAGCCCAACTGCAATGGACAATAATTCATAGAATCCTGGTTTGAAAACAAACTACATACAAAAGGTATTTTGGAAACAACTGGACAACTGGAGAAATGTAAATATTGCCTGGACATTAAACAATAGTAGTTAATTGTTTTCATTAGTATGATAAAGGTTTTATAGGAAATGGTCATATAAGAAAAATGTCCTTGTAGGAGACATATTGCTAAAGTATTTAGAACTGAAGTGTCTTATCTACAACTTACATATCTGACAAAAACCAACAACCAAAACACACACACGTAGGTACACACATAAATATATAAATATGGAAAAATATTTGAACCTAGGTGATAGTGATAAAGGAGTTAAGAAGAAATTACTTAGGCAGATAGTACAGGTATGGGAGTCCTTGGTAAGGCTTTTCTTTTTCATGAAAAGCAGCTCCAAATCATTTTCTAATGAAGAGCAGCTTGTAAATTCGAGCTGCAGACATAGGCAGGCAAGTTGGGAGTTTGCAACGGTGAATGCTGGCAGGAGCTAGGGACTAGACATGTTCAAGATGGTGGCTCCCTCTTCCCTTCTCTGCCAATCATGTGTATAGTAAGAAGCAGACAAGACAGTGCCAATCAATTGGAAACCCCACTTGCATAAGATTAGGGTACAGCAACCAGCCTTCCCCATGTACTATGTAAACACCATACTGTCTGGTAGAGGACTTTTGGCCCCGTTCCCCACCCATGTGGAAAGGGCCTAATTCCCGAAAAGGAAGGCCCTTCCTCCCCCACAGGGAGGCTCCCTTATCTCACTCTATCCTGGCCCGGCCCAAGACCAGCAACCTTCCCGCCCAGCGGCCCACTGAACCAATCACCATCCGCCCCACCAGCTCTCCTGTAACCTCCCGTCCCACAAGCTCCCGCCCGGCAGGCTTCCTGCCCAGCAATCAACCTAGCCAATTACTACCTGCCGGGTCAGCTCTCCTACCGCCCCAGGCCCTCTGTCCCTATAAAGTCAACCGAACAAAGAAAGCGCGTGCGATTCATCCTCGTCCGCCTGAGTCGCCCGGAGATCCCAATAAAGTCGGTACCGGCCACCACGCGTCCTGCCTCATGTCTACTGGGGGCCTGCCTCCGTGGGTTGGGGTCCCACAACCAGGGGTTGCACACATACCTGATCAAATCAATCTGTGAGCCCTCTATAAATCAGACACCACATTCTCAAACCTGACCAGAAAATTCAGTGCATCCACCACCTGCAGGTCCTTTCCACTCAGAGCCCCTCTCTATAGACAGAGCTGTTTCTGTTTCTCTTCTTTTCTGCCTATTAAACCTCCACTCCTAAACTCCTCATGTGGGTCCATGTCCCCAGTTTGCATGCAATGACGAGCCCCAGGTATATCCCCCAGACAACGTAGCCGCTTCAATAATGAAACCACCTTTGCAAAATTATGACTGAGACAGTGAAAGAGATCTCACCTAGCCAATTCCATCTTGCTTCTAATCTTCAAGCTGTCCTTGTTCGTCCCCAGGTGTAGGTTAAACTAACTTTGGGAGGGATTGGAACCGCCTTTGCAGAAATAACTGAGAAAATTATGACAGTGAAAGACATCAGACCTAACTGACCATCTTGCTTCTAATCTATAAACTATACTTGTTCATTCTTGGGCATAGGCCAAGCAACCTTTGGGAAGGAATATAGTCTATAGTTTATATAATAACCCTTCCCAAAAGGCTAAACTAGTCTTGTAAAACAAATGAAAGGCCAGCTACCAAGTCTAGATGAAAGGGGCTGGAATTCTAAATATTACCAGCTATTATTTGGAGGTGATAAGATTTGCAACTTCCCCAGTACGTCTTGAAAGTAACATTGTGAACCTAAGCCTTTTGAGATGTCTTTTCGGGTTTCTGCATGTCTAACAACCAGATGGCCTCACCTGGATGTGCCATCTAATTCTGTAGCCCTCACTCAGGAAGTGACTCAGGGGAAAAGAACAGCTTCAACTTCCTACAATTTCATCCTTAAACCAACCAATCAGCACTCCCAATTCACTGCCCCCCCCCCCCACCAAATTATCCTTAAAGGGGCTGATATGAGTAATAATAAACTCCAGTCTCCTGCACAGCTGGCTCTGTGTGAATTACTCTTTCTCTATTGCAATTTCTGTCTTGATAAATAGGCTCTGTCTAGGCAGCAGGCAAGGTGAACCCCTTGGGCAGTTACAGAACGTATAGTTTAAAACATAGATGTCAACAGTCCTTTTCCAAAACAAACATTCTTCTTTCCTAGGGACCAGCCTGCCTTTGTAAAACTAACAAATTAGCCACAAGATTAGAATTATCGTTTAGGAGTCAGGCAGCTGGAGTCTACAAGATTCTGACCTCCCTAAATTGCTCCTAAGTTCAGTGCTTATGATAGTATGCAGACCCTGGACTTGATGAATCAGCTGGCACAACCCAAATCAATAAACTGGCTTATCTGATCTTGTGGCCCCCACCTGGGAACTGAGTCTTCGAAATAGGACAGCTTCAATTCCCTGTAATTTCATCTACCTAACCAATCAGCACTCCTGGCTCACTGGCTTCCCTTACACCCACCAAGTTCTTAAAAACGCTGATCTGCAAATGCTGGGGAAGGCTGATTTTAATAATAATAAAATTCCCATCTCCCACACAGCCTCTGTGTTAATTACTCTTTATTGTAATACCCCTCTGTCTTGATAAAAGGGCTCTGTCTAGGCAGTGGGCAAGGTGAATCTATTGGGCGGTTACAATAGGCATATGGGTGATTTTGTGCTTTTTGTTCACCTTTTCTGTGTTTAAAACGTTCAGAATAAGAAATTCGAACAAAGAAGACATGCATTGATAATTCCTATTCATCTTTAAGAGTCCATTCTGTGTTTTACTTACCACTCCGAAGGCTTTCTTGCCCACACCAGGACAAACTCAGCTCTTTACCCCTTTTCTGAATTTTCCTGGCACTTTTGCTTTGAATACAGCACTTAATTAATATTCTGCCTTGTACCCAGAATTAACACATTATAAAATCCCAGAGGACAAAGTAGGAAAATACAATCATAGGATATAGAAATTTAACAGCCAAATTATAATGAATTTAATGGGTGATCTTTATTAGGCAAAATAAAATGTTAAGGTAGTATAAGATTTAGGGGTGCAGCGCCGAAGGCCTAAACTAGGATGGCAGCAATGAAAGGGCAAAGTCCTGAGTAACATGGGAAACATTTACACTGCAGGCTTGCATTTGGGCTTTCATTAGCTTCCACAACAACGTATCTAAACATGGACAGCTTTACAGACACCCGTTTTAAAACATTCCAGCTACCATATCAAAACTCGGGGTCTCACTGGAAAAGAGTGACTTCAAGTGGAATTCCTCAGGGAGACATTCACTTCCAATCATCATTCGCTAAACCAGGAACTTTGGACAGCCTCATATCGCACCCGGATTTCCAAGGACACCACATCCACACCATAAAAAGCATCGGGAATATGCGGAAAGGTCTAATTTACCTAATTAAATTCTTTTAAGTTCTAACAAATGTATTTTATTAGAACGTGCGCCAGCGTTTGAGAACAAAATGTTTTAGTACTTTGAATCCGCCAAGGAGACAGGATCTGGGTCTGACTGTTTTCTCAGGGTGAAGGTCAAGGCTAACCACTTGGGTGCCTCTCCCTCCAGGCCCGCGCCGCGCCCTCTCACCCAGATTCCCGTCCTGCACCGCGCCGCAAGTCCCCTAGCCGTGGGCACCACCCGATCCCCTCAGCCCCGCCACTGGCCCCTCCCCCGCCCCGCCTCCCCTAGGGCGGCTGTCAGCATCAGCGTCCCACAAAGAGGGCGAAACGTGGGAACGCAGAGAACTAGACCCGGCTTTTGAGGGACCGCCCGAAAAGGGGGTGCACCCCCTCCTTAAGTCCCACCAACCGCGCAGGCCAGCGTCACAGAGCAGGCGTTGGAAACCCGGCGCCGGCGACCCCTCCCACCCTACCTTGAGCTGCGCCCCCTCCTCCGGCGGCCCAGCCTCCTACTTCCGCCCCGCCCACGTGCCCTGGTGGGCGGGTCCAGAGGGGCCCTGCGCTGGGGGAGTCTGTCAAGGCCCTGGCGGGTGAGTTAGTATCGAAGGGGCCGGAACCGGAGCCAACATGGCAGCGGGGTTCGTGCGATGCTGCAGGGTGAGAGGGAGCCCAGCGCTGCGGTGGGGCTGGGGCTTGAATATTGTGCGTGGTCATGGGCCAAAAATAAGTGCGGCCTGGAGGGGTGAGAAGCCGGTCTGAGGAAGGAGACCGCCTAGGGGACCACAGCCCTGCTTTCATTCCTCCTACCACGGGACGGAACGTAGTCCGGAGTTTCATTTTCCCGGATCCTCCCATCAGCAGACCCCTTTGTAGGCGGCATCCTCTCTTTAGAATATCGGTTTTCTTTCTCTGGCCCGGGAACCCTCCAAATATTTACCCCAGGAATCCCACCTTTTTCCGAAGTGAATCTGTCTCTGTGTCAGAACCACGGGAAAAAGGAAAATGGAGCAGCTACTCCTTGAGATACTTAATATATTTAATAAGCTTTTCGTTGTGTAATATGGTGGAGGACGCGTCCACTTTGCTTATGGGAAAAAAAAGTAAAAGAAAAAATCTACCGCAGGATTGTATGTGAACTTGTCTGTATATTCTAGTATGTGTCTTACAGATTCTAAATATATTTGTCACTAGATGCATTTTGGGATCTTAAATATTCCTGGTATATTCACATGACTGCCATTTAGATGTCCCTTAAAATTATGTTTTTAACCAAAAAAGCTGCGGTTTTAGAATAATCCAAAAGAACTGCTGCCCATATTTTGCTGCTTTTATACAAGTTAATGTGCAGAGAAGGCGGAAATTGGGGGATTTTAGCTTTTTTTAACTCCATCACCAGAAAAGTAGATTTCTCAGCCTCCAAGGAAGGAGCTAAAAAACCTGATATAGAAAACTTACATTCTCTTTTTCTTCTTTCACTCATAAAACTAACACTCATATATTTCTAAGAAATGCACAAAATGTTTAATTCTAGTGGTGCCGTTTCGATATTTAAAATTCCATTGTTCTAGACAGAGAGCCCATCGTAATAAAACCAATATTTATATAGCATTAGGCTTTGAAAACATTATCTTATTTTAAACATCCCAACATACATAGTGAGATTAGCCCTGTTTTTCGGTTTTGAATGGAAGCTATAAGCAGTTTGTAACCTAAGGCCACAACTATAGCTGTGAATTCAAATTCAGCAATTGTTAACTCCAGATCCCGTGATATACCTGTTTTCTATTTGTAAACAACCTAATTAACTGGCTAACTTTGTTATGTAACTAACAGGTTGATGTGCATTGTATTCTGGTAATAGCAGCCTTTGCACTTTGTTCTATATAACACATTTTCCTGAATGGTCACATGTGAAGTGACTTTTTCCCTATTTAAAGTCTGACTGGCCGTGGTGTCTCACACCTGTAATCCCAGGACTTTGGGGCGCTGAGGCGGGCAGATCTTCTGAGGTCAGGAGTTGAAGACCAACCTGGCCAACATGGTGAAACCTCATCTTTACTAAAAAAATCCAAAAATTAGCCGAGTGTAGTGGCACACGCCTGCAGTCCCAGCTACTCAGGAGGCTCAGGCGGGAGAATCGCTTGAAATCAGGAGGGAGAGTTTGCTTTGAGCCAAGATTGCATCACTGTACTACAGCATGGGTTACAAGAATGAAACTCCGTCTCAAAAAATAAAGTCTCTCGGTTGGCCGGGCGCGGTGGTTTACGCCTATAACCCTAGCTCCTTGGGAGGCGTAGGCCAGTGGATCACTTGAGACCAGGAGTTTGAGACCTGCCTGGCCAACATAGGGAAACTCCATCTCTACTAAAAAAATATGAAAAATTAGCTGGGCGTGGTGGTGTTGTATTTGACCGGAGCGTAGAAAGTTATCACAAGACAAAAGTATGCCAGATTGCAGGGTCATTTATTATGCCGGCGACCACAGAGGACTCACGTCTCTCCAACCTGTGGTGGCAACAGGAGGGTGCCACGATTTTTTTATACCCGAAAAACCACCTTGGGAGTGGGGGTGAGGGGCGGGGATGGGGATGAAAAGGCTTCAGACATTCCGAGGGCTAGTGGATTCTGTAAATTACCTCCTGGGCAGAGATGAGGGTGGGGGTCTCCGGACATTCCAAGGGATGGGGACTTTTGTCATTCCGTTTGTTACTTAAGTGGTTTACAGAAGTCAAGATAAACATTTGTTTACACATTATCTGGTTAAGGTGGAAATCACAGACCTTAGTTACTTATTACAAGCCACAGGAGCCAGGATGGAACTAGCTTGGGCTGCTTAGTCTGGCAATTGCCGGTAAGCAAAGGCTAGCAATTCTGGCAGTTACTGATAAGAAAAGGTAAACAGCTTTACATAGTTTTGAAGAACAAACTAGCAGTTCTATTTACAGAGGCCAAGGACAGTAGTTATTGTAAGGAGAATGGGGCAGCCATTTCAACTTATATAAAAACAGTTTTGCATTTTATAAAATAGTTTTGCTCCAGTTCTGGCTCTAGGCCAGCACAATATCACACAAAGGCCAGGGGACTTTTGTCATTCCGTTTGTTACTTAAGTGGTTTACAGAAGTCAAGATAAACATTTGTTTACACATTATCTGGTTAAGGTGGAAATCACAGACCTTAGTTACTTATTACAAGTCACAGGAACCAGGATGGAACTAGCTTGGGCTGCTTAGTCTGGCAATTGCCGGTAAGCAAAGGCTAGCAATTCTGGCAGTTACTGATAAGAAAAAGGTAAGCAGCTTTACATAGTGGCTAGTTTGCAAAGCAAACTAGCAGTTTTATTTATAGTAGCCAAGGACAGTAGTTATTGTGAGGAGAATGGGGCAGCCACTACAACTTATTTAAAAACAGTTTTGCATTTTATAAAATAGTTTTGCTCCGGTTCTGGCTCTAGGCCAGCACAATATCACAGTGGCATATGCCTGTAATCCCAGGAGGCCAAGGTTGCAGTGAGCCGAAATTGCCCCACTGCACTCCAGCCAAGGTGACAGAGGGAGACTGTCAAAAAAAAGAAAAAAAAAAAAAAAATTCTCAGTAGACCATTTAACCTGGATTGAGTTCTGACATTTGTGTATGGTATTCAAAAGCATATGTATAATAGAGTCGGATTTTTTTGTTCTGATTTTTGTGGGATGTTTTTCTTTGTTATGAAACTTAGTGACCAATTAGCAGACCAATAGAAAGATAAGTATGGCAAGGTGGTTAATAGCATGTGCTCTTGATAGTAAATGTTAGAATCCTGGTTGCACTAAGAGAAGAGTAACTTGCCTAATTTAGTTGACTTTCTGAGCCTTCATTTCCTCACATGTGAAATTGGACTAAAAATAATGACTTAATCATAGGCTTGACCTGGGATTCAGTGAATTAACCTGTCCTAAAGTGACTGTAAACAAGAATAGATTTGGTCTGTGACTACTGGACAATGAAGACCAGAGAAACTGTTTCACTTTCAAAATAAAATTAATGAAATTGCAAAGAAAATGTGAGCTATCATGCTCTGTGTTTCTTTAATTATAGTATGAGGTATGTTATTTTGAAAGCTCTGTTTCAGTTACAAATATTTGACAATTGTCACCTTACACGAAGGAAATTATAAGTTGAAATTGTCATCTACAAAGACAGTTTCTTTTCACAGATTTTGAAAAACATAAGTTAAATTGTAGAAACTTTAGTATATTCTTCAGCTTCTCTTTTCTCTTAGTATCTAATCTTATTAAAATTGCCAGATAGTTCAATCAAAATATTTTACAGTGAAAATTGTGTAATTTTGGCTGTCCCGAAACCTTTACTCAGGAACACCATTGTGGTCTCCAGTTTGGCAGCTTTAATAAATACAAGTGTTTACTTTTGTATCCATTAAACTGTCATGAATATAAAAATGCAAAGCAATAATGCAAAGCAATGATACATGTATTTTTGATTTTTTTATATGTTCCTTTGAAGAAATATGAGTATATTTCAGATCCTAAGACAAGTAGTGTATTAGTAATTTAGAGCAGGGTTGGCAAACGTTTTTTGTAAAGGAGCAGATAGTAAATGTTTTTGCCTTTGTGAACCATATGGTCTCTGTGGTAACTACTTAGATCTGCTGTGAAAGCAGCAATAGAAAGCATGATGTGGCTTTGTTCCAATAAAATTTTATTTACAAAACTATTGGCTGCCATAGTTTGGTGACTCCTTGCTTAGAATATTGTAACAATGCCTGTAGACAATGAGCAGAAAATACAGAACATGGTTTTATGCTAATTTGTTTTGTTAAGAGTGGGGTATCCTAAAACCTGAGATCCTCTTAGGGGAAGGTTCCCAGAGGCATGCATGGGAGGCTTACAGGGACAGAGTATCAAGGTTGATGGACTAGGCAACTCTTGAACACAGTATGTTCACTTCCAGCCTATTATTCTCCCCAACCCAACTCTCCAATCATCAATGTCCTAGGCACTTGTAAGATACCCAGAATAGTGGTCCTACGTCTACTACTACCCTTAACTGTTGTTTGTCCTGGAAACCCTCCACTTCAATAGTGTTAATACCACTGATTTTATTTTCATTACTTTTTAAAAACATCTCCTCTGTGATAGGAGTTAGATAGCTGGTAATTGGCTTATTTAAATTATGATTGAAAGCATTTAAATAATGACTGTAAAAACTATGAGTATCCTCAAACAAGTTGCTGTACTCACATAATTATCAGTATTCTCTTATCTGATTGATGTTTAACTTATCAAATGTATTTTAATAAAAGTGTTCTTTACAGGTCCTGAGAAGTATTTCTCGTTTTCATTGGAGATCACAGCATACAAAATCTGCTCTACAACGTGAACCAGGATTAGGATTTAGTTTTGGTATATGTTCTGTTCTATCTTTTGACTTTAAAGTTATATATATGAAGCTATATGTATTTGTTTGGAATATGTTTGTAAATAAACTTAATAATGTTCTTAAATAAGTAGAACCAGTCCACGGTCCATATATAGTTCACAATTAATCACACCCATTCTTCCTGATCTCATTTTCTTCCTTAATATACTACACTATACATTAGATCTGTGTTAGCAGCATATATACACTTCTTATGTTCCTTCCTTTTTTTTTCTAAATGTTTAGCCCAAAATAAATGAGATTTACTGATATATATGAATAGGCTTCAACTTATGTATTTCAATGCCACAAACGCATTTTAAAACACTTGTTAGATTACAATGCTAGGTGCCTGGTAATAAGCTAAAGCTTGTTTTTGCTGTAATATATCTGAACTGCAATTTTGGTGCCATTAGATGAAGTTCTCCTGGGACCAGGGAGCCATGTGGTTGTTATAGGGAAAAGGAATTTGATTTTTCTTCCTCTGTCCTCTATAAAATGAAAACCACAAGGCCGGGCTCGGTGGCTCACGCCTGTAATCCCAGCACTTTGGGAGGCCGAGGTGGGTGGATCACGAGGTCAAGAGATCGAGACCATCCTGGTCAACACGGTGAA